TGTGATTTATTTTATAGTAATCAATACAAAAATATATTTTTTTATTATAATATTTTTATATAATTCTCAAATTAAATTATAAATTTAATGGTAGAAACTTTGTCAAATAATAAATTTTAAGATAAATCAATTGCATATAACCAAAAAATAAAAAACAAATAAAAATTATAGAGTAATGAATAGTACCGCGCAGTGGCGAATTTACATCAGTGATGGGGGGCAATTGCTCCCCCTCAAATTTTAATTTTTTTTACTACTAATATTACAAATATTAATTTGTCCCCCCTTTAAATTTATTTTTGCACCCATTTTTTGTTTTTAACGTCACTCACCAGGCCAACTTGTCCACAATTATCAATTAACAATTCAGCACTTCTTTTATTTTACTATTAATTTTGTATATTAACTATTATCCTTCTATAATTTTAATTGACCCATATAAAAAACTCTCTTTTACTGCCCAGACTAGGGCTGATATTTTTTCACCGAAAATCGAACTGAACCGATTGATGAGAAAATAAACCGACTTGAACCGATTTATGTGTATCGGTAACCGAAAATCGGTTACCTAAATGTTAAATTACAGTATCGGTTCTTAACTCATTATGTCATGTCTTTTGCCCCCTCTCAACTAATTTTCTGGTTTCGCCTCTGGTATCGTGTCGGATGTAGCGATACTGTTCATAACTCTAGAGTAGTGCAGAGATGTAGCGCAGCGTTAGAGAGTAATTTTGGCCTTGTTTGGTAATCAGCGGTTAGCTGTTAGCTGATTGTATTAGCTGTTTTGACCAGCGGATTGCATTGACTATTTTGACTAGCTGGTTGTGTTAGCGGTTTGTGAAAAAAAGTTTGCTAAAATTAGCTATTTCAATTAGCTGTTAGCATGTAAAATTACTTATAAGGACATCATACTTTTTATCATTCTACTTTATGTTAAAATTATAATTATTTAGGAAATAGAAATAGTTAATATTTTAAATGTTTATTAAAGTGATTTAAATATAGTAAAAACTAGTACAACACCCGTGTATTACACGGGTGCTTGCTAATTTTTTTCTTAAAACTTAAAATTAATGAGAAAAATTAGTTTGAAAATTTAAATACCTTTTATAAGAATATATATATATATATATATATATATTATTATATATTTATTATGACACTTTTATTTGTGCAACTTACTTGTGTTATATTATACTAATTGTTTTTAACTTACAATATATAATTACATTCCATATAAATATATCAATTGAGAAATAATTTTATTTTTCTTATGAATTTTAATAAATATTATTATTTTTTATTATTTTAAAGATAAAAATAATTTATTTATTTCATACATACAATATGGATGTCAAATTGAAGATTATCAAAAGATGATTAATTTGATATATTATATATGTAAAAAAACGATAAGAAATACAAAAGTTATCAACTTTTAAAATACATTTATATTTCAATAGCTTATTGAAGGAAACAAATCAAAATTCATGGATATATTAGTCACTTAGTGCCTCACTATGTAAAATTACAAAGAATTAAAGGATTATATTAGTAAAAGTGATATTAAAATACCTAAGTTAGCTAAATAATATTTATGGAATATCCGAACCCAGATTATTAATTATTAATATATCAATATTATTTATTTAAACCTAATTACGAAGCATGATTTTTCGCTAAATAGGATTCCGAAGCACCATAAGCAGCCACGCAGGCTCAACGCATTCGAGAATTACATATAAAGAGGATATAAATGTAAATCAATTGCAATATCTACTATTACAATTAAAGAACAAAAATAAAGGAAAAGGAAAAAAACAGAAATTCTATGGTGCCACATGTGGCACGTGTTATGGTGCCACAACATGATGTGACACATTATGATTGGTGCCACAACATGATGTGTGATAGTTGTGGCACCAATTATAATGTGCCACATCATATTGTGGCACCATAATATGGTGCCACATGTGGCACCATAAAATTTCTGAGGAAAAAAACGCAATAACTGCTATTACAATTAAAGAACAAAATAAAAGAAAAAAAAAACAAATTCATATATAAGAATACCTACAAATAAAGAACAAAAATAAAAGAAAAGAAGAAAAAAAAAACTAACTTATACGCCAATAAGAGAACTAGAGGGTGGGCAATTAAGGACATTTTGCTTTTTTTTTTGAATAAGCTAATCTCAAACGCTGCAAATTGCAGCGTTTTATATTTCAGCTGATGGACCAAAAAAGCTATGTGTAAAAGCTATTTGCCAAACAATTTTTGTTAGCGTATTTATAAAGTCAACCAGCTACAACTAGTGATGTGAAAAAGCACTTTTAGGAGCAAAACGCCAATAAACAAATAGAGCATTTGTCTCTACTCTAACGTAACACGCCAGAGTAGCGCAACACTGAAGATGCTCTTAATGAGACGTTTGTTTAAAGTTTTTTTCTCATAATATATATATATATATATATAAATATAATTGGTGAAATTATTATATTTGCCATCGCACAATTAATGACAGCTGTAAAATTCAATGTATATTCGTATATATGTTTTCCTTTGGGTTATATATACTTGGCCACATCCCTCCCATAACATATGTTAGAGGTGGATTGGTGCGTGTTTTCGGCATGGTTCTTGAAAATCGAATTGGTGAAATTACTGGTGAAATGGTTCACTGGTCGAACCGATTTAATTAATATATATTTTTACAAAACAAAGACAATAGAAACAATCCTATTTTCATTTTAAATCATATTTTATTTTTTTTATTATTGATTAAAAGAATAATAATAATGTGCTAACAAAAAGTACAAAAAGTACTTTTACGACTTATGAATGATTGATTTGTCGTTTATTCTTGTCACTTAATTTTAAATCTTATTGTTTTTTAGTTAATGACTCATTTTTATTGATTTGGTTATGATTTTATTTTCAATATCCTATTCTTACATTTTTATAAAAGTATAATAAATTATCAAGGCCATTTTTTTTTTATTATATAAAAGGATTCCCACATTATTTATGGGAAGCTTCCCAACACAAATATCAAGTTCAAGGCCCATTTCTTTATTGGGCCCATAAAAGGCCCATTTCTTTATTGGGCCCATAAATATACAATCTTACGAGACATTTGTTCCCAAACGCATATCTTGGAGAATAACCTGAAACTACTTTCCCCCAAAACCTCATAGCGAAAACCAAAAAGGTTATTCGAAATCCAAACCCTCGCCGGAGCACAACAATCGGAGCACAATGTCGGAATCCGACCGGAATCTCGGCTACCTCACGAAGAAGGAGACGGAGGTGAAGCTGCCCCGTCCAACGCGCGTCAAGAACAAAACCCCGGCGGCGATTCAAATCACCGCCGAGCAGATCCTCCGCGAAGCCCGCGAGCGTCAGGAGGCCGAAATCCGTCCGCCCAAGCAGAAAATCACCGACCCCACCGAGCTCGCTGAATACCGCCTCCGCAAGCGCAAGGAGTACGAGGACCTAATCCGGCGAGTACGGTGGAACAAGAGCGTCTGGGTGAAGTATGCCAAGTGGGAGGAGTCACAGATGGACTTCGCCCGCGCGAGGTCCGTCTGGGAGCGCGCCCTCGAGGTGGACTACAGGGACCATACGCTGTGGCTCAAGTACGCCGATTTCGAGATGAAGAACAAGTTCGTCAACCACGCCAGGAACGTATGGGACCGCGCCACGGAGCTGCTGCCCAGGGTGGACCAGCTCTGGTACAAGTACATTCATATGGAGGAGGTGCTCGGGAACGTGGCTGGCGCCAGGCAGATTTTCGAGCGGTGGATGAGGTGGATGCCTGATCAGCAGGGGTGGCTGTCGTACATAAAGTTCGAGCTGAGGTACAACGAGGTCGAGAGGGCACGGACAATTTTCGAACGGTTTGTGGATTGCCATCCGAAGGTCTCTGCGTGGATTAGGTTTGCCAAGTTTGAGATGAAAAATGGAGATATTGCTCGTGCCAGGAACTGTTACGAGAGAGCGGTGGAAAGATTGGGGGACGATGAGGAAGCTGAGCTGTTGTTTGTGGCTTTTGCACAGTTTGAGGAGAAGTGTAAGGAGACCGAGCGAGCAAGGTGCATATATAAGTATGCACTGGACCACATCCCGAAAGGGAGGGCAGAGGAGCTTTACATGAAATTTGTGGGGTTTGAGAAGCAGTATGGGGACCGGGAGGGGATCGAGGATGCCATTGTTGGGAAGAGGAGGTTTGAGTACGAGGATGAGGTTAGGAAGAACCCGCTTAATTACGATGCGTGGTTCGATTATATCCGGCTGGAGGAAAGCTGTGGGGACAGGCAGAGGATTGAGGATGTTTACGAGAGGGCTATAGCAAATATGCCCCCGGCCCAGGAGAAGCGCTATTGGCAGCGTTACATATATTTGTGGTTAGTATGGTGCTTGTTCTTGACGTGGTGATGTCACATTACATGGTGTGGATAGGCATTATGTTTTGATTACTGATTGAATTTGTTTTGTTATCAGGATTAATTATGTTCTGTATGAAGAGCTTGAGGCACAGGATGTGGACCGGACAAGAGATATATACAAGTAAGATGACTAGTAGGCATTTTGAATTCAAGTACTTATCATGAGGGTGATTTTTTGTGCAGTTCTGTGATAATAAAGAGTCTTCTTATAACGGGGAATTGCTAGCATAGTGACATGAGGATCACGTAGTGTACTATAAGTATTTTTATAGACTGGTGTTAGATATATAGTATAAAAAATACATGTGCAGAATCCCGATTGGGTACTGATCAGATTGGCTGACATTAAGTTTAATTTTTTATAATACTAGGCTCATCATGGCTCACCGCTTGGATGTGTTGAAAATTGAAATGAATGAAAACGAGTATGAAATATTAATAGGCCTCTTTTGTGCAAATCTACGTGGTTCAAATGTCTTTATCCTTCTATGTTGCATTACTTTCCTTCTCCTTTTTTTTTTTT